AGACTGTGTTGAACCATCCTTACTAGGATCCAGCATGTCAACACAGAGAGAGAGAGAGAGCATTTCAGTCTAGGGAGTATTACCCAGCGAGATATGCAAAATAACTTAAAGAAACAACTGAAGAATCATTCATAGAAGTACTTGACTGTACGACTGTAGTTCTTTAATGTAAATCAGCTGTAGTAATCTTGAAAATCAAAGAATTTTGGGTGTCATGGAAATATAGCTGAAATGAACAGGTAATTGTTACAGGTTGATAACTATGACAGTGAGTAATAATAATAATAACAATAAAGGCTTTATTCCAAACACCACATCTGAAAGAACATTTTTATTAATACAAATGGCAATAATATATAAAAGTAAAAATAAATTATAGATTAACAGGAATAATGGCAATATTATATATTAATCATAGGGACAATAAAAAGAAGCTGCTTACTCACTTACTATTTCTCAATAAGTCAATAGCCTTACACTTTTCTTATCACATCAAACACCTGCTAAATAACGTATAGTTGAAGTTTTTATCTTTTAGTTGTGAGAGCATAAAGGGGAGAGTTATGATTAATGGGAGATTTCTCAAAATCAGACAAGATGATCTTTCCCCATTTCAAGTGTCTACCAACAACATTACTAACCAGTTAGCTTAGAGGCACACATCTAGTCGCACTACGGATACCTTTTAGTATTATTCATTATGTAACAATGTTTTTTTGGAGTAATCCAGAGAAAATTGGGCTGAAAAGGAATAAAGAATAACAGATAGAATGCAGACATTAACAAACTGCAGAAGTAGAGACTGACAGATACCAGATTATGTTAACTTCCTGATATCGAAGGATGGAATGCATATTTTTTCTGCACATCAGTAGGATGTTAAATGAGGAGAAAAGGCACTATCCACGATATAGAACAACTGGCTTAATTTCGACTTTAGTTGTCGTCTTCAAGGTTCCATCATAGATACTTTTAACTCGTTGATTCTATTTTAAACCCAATAAACAAATGACCTTTTGGAAACTGATTCCTTTTTTCTATGGCAAATTGGAGAAAAAGACTTTTGTTGTTGTTCAGTATTTTGGATTCAGACTTCCTGTTTTTACGCCCAAGGAATTATTACGTATTTATGTTTGATTGACAAATATTTAAAGATTGATCACGAAGTGACTTCAGTTAGAGGACCAGGGAAAACCACACGGGGATAGTGGATAGCTGTTCTTCCCTACTTGGAGACTATTCAGAACTACCCGCTCATGAATTCAACACTAGGCAGTTAACCCAGGACTTTCATGATACACAGAGTGATTGTTGGCGCTTCACCCAATGAGACGGGACCCAGTGGTCAGACCATGAATTCTAACTTCTGTTATTTTGCGGTATTTATGTCGTTACATTTGAAATATACGTGTTATTCACATTTTGAAGGGTAGTTAAACTTTTTGTTCATCTTTTTCACTTAGTATTACTGTTACTGATAAGTGACCTCTTAGCTCTGTGAACATTAGCTCTTTCTGTAAGATGATTACAGTGTTTTCCAAATATTTCCATGTTACGACAAATTTAGGAAAATAAAAGTAACAGGAAATGGTACTGTAAGCTGATCTGATTGACAAAATCACACATTCATATAGTAGTATACGTCGAATTCGATTAATTCAGCGTTATGCTGCTGCTAATAATGTATTTCTGTAAGATATAACATGAAAAATAATAAAGTGAGAAACACAGCTACAAAACATTAGTATTGCGTTCACAGGTGAATGAGGGATTTAGCCTTGGTTTGGCAATTTACATTACCGATTTACCTTCGGGTTACTTACAATCAGCAGGAAGTAGATTCTGGAGAAGTCACATGGGCTCTTTAAGATGACATATGAAGGCTTGAAAAAACTAAAAAGTTATCACTATCATCATCGACCTGAGTTACAAATCTTTTCCGTCGTCATAAAGTAAAGTGACTTTGTGCAATTCGGGAAAACATGCTAATTGGATACATAAAAATATGTAACTGGACTGGAAGTATTGTGCATCTAAAGGGATACTAAATTCGTTTGAAATTTTAACTTAGACCTTCCCAAAGGTTCAAATTCGTAGTTTCCCGTTCATCAAACCATCGCATTATTGATTTAAGAGTAAAAATTACCTACTGACTACTTTTTAATGACGTTTCAACCATCACACTCAGCTACTAAACGATAAGTAAAATGCCACTATTTTTACCATCAACGAAAACTAAATTAATGTAAAGTTAAAACTACACTGTCACCCCTGAAAGCTCACTAGTCTGAATCACAATATAATCTCATTGTTTATTCTAATTGTAATTATTGCCGTATTCTATTGATACTTTTCTGGTAGACTTTAATGTCTTAGATAATAATTGCCTGACACGGAGTTTCTGTTCTCTTTGTTTTAATCCATACAATAAATATGATGCATTCATATTTTTCATTTATATGTTTTCCGAGAATTTTGTATCACTACCTAAATTCTTATGGCTTAAATTACTCTCTTTAATAAAACATCTTTCAATCAATTTTCGTTAATGTCTTGTACATTTAACGAAATACGAATTCTCTATCTGTTGCCCTGATTCTATTGTGTACCGTTTTAAAGTGAGTTAATTTGAAACGACACAGGCCTTCATTCTGTTGTTAAAACTAAATGTATGGACCCATTTACAGACTTTTAAGGTATCTGGGCTTATTTATGGGTAAATTGGGCTAAATAGTGAAGTATTTTGGGGTATTTTTGGAATTAGGAGAAGTTTGACAGTTATCAGAGGTAATTAAATGGAAACTTAGGAAGATGTTATGGGCATTTTGGGGTTTTCCGGAAATGTATAATTTTTCCGCTAACTCCAAATGCCCCCAAATTTTGTCACTTTTAGTTACAAATAAAGTGTGCTTTGTTTCTAAAAGGTTGAGAAGACAAATGTCCGTTTCTGTAAGCCAATAAATGTAGCAATGCTACTATGAAGAATATTGATATCATCTGATCAATCTATCAATTTTAGGAATGATGAGAATCTGAAATTCAGCCTACCAATATATAGGTAAAATAGTAAACATGATTGAGTCAAAGTTTGACTAGATTTCACTTTGGTAAGTCCATATCCTTTTGCTACTGTCTCGAATAGACTCATTTTAAAAATAGCCTGGTTTTATTGCTTACGAGAGGAATTATAAGCCTATTATTCGTCAAATTAATATTCAATAGAAAAGAGCATTTGAGATAGCAGGATATTTTTCATATGAAATACAAACCTGGTCACTAAACTCTACAGCTAGAAATCCCAACTCTGAGCAAGCTGTCTATAGAAAAGCAAATCATGTAAGTACCAAGGTGTAACACTACGAATCATCCAGGATGAGGAAATAGAATGGCATTCAGCTTCCTGTCTCAACTACATCAACTCTTAGGACTGTACTGATAGCGTTGACCAGTTTACGTCAGACCTGCATGAAGACTGTAGAAGATGTGGACTTCAAGGACGACTCACGTCTTATGTCACACGAATTCGGAGATCTACAGGTGAAAGCCAACAAGTTGACAATAGGGGTAGAGGAGAAAATGCTCCAAATAAACATAGGAAAGACAAAGGTGACGAATATGTCTAATCAGTAACAACAAGCATAAGTCACCATGAATGGAGAAGTCTAAATGGAGCACCTCTTTCACTTACTTAAGCAGCATCGTTTTAACTACATGTGGCACAGATGAAGATGCTAAATCCTGGATGGAATTAGTTATGTGAAAGTCTGTTGCACGCAGCATACGGGAAAAGATGCGAATTCTCAATACTCATGTCAATTTAGTCAGTGCTTCTATATGGTTGTTAGTCTTAGCATTTGAGTCACGTAAATCACTTCCAACAAACTACGGACCCTCATCAAAAGCCACCATCGCTCTATACAGAAGATGAGATGGCTTACTGGGAGGGACAAGCATCAAGTAAATCTACCAGGTAACAGATTAACCGTAAAATTCATTTAGAATTAATATTAACTTAGGGAAAAGTAGCCTGCATTTACTGCGTGACTAGTACGTAGAAACTGTGCTAAGTATTTACAAGACCTATGGAGATGGGTAATACTATCACAAGCTTAGTTCAACATTTAATATGATAAAATAATGTGACCAAAGAAGCAAGATGAATTATTTTGTATGAAAGGTGTCTAGTGAATGATTCATAAACACTGTGCAATCCAGTGCTCTTGGTCAATTGTGACAATTATTCATAGATGAAAACTTCATGAATAAAAAATAAAATCCCAAAATTTGGAACAACAGTCAGTCTTTAAAATCGAGTGTCAAAAAAAATATTTTCACCCTTAGAATCTACCATATTATTCCTGTTAATTTAATCATACTTTTATGTTCTGTTTAGGACACCAAAATTACATAAGTTTGAGTACGATTTATTTCCACCACCCGAAAATTTGCTTTTTTCCACCTCTTGAATTTAATCATCTTCCAACTACTTTTTATAACTTTTTTATAGTATCGACTCAGATTCTCACTCAACACGTGTCCTTTAGCTGACAGACTTCATATACTTTTTCCAGCTTCAGTTTTATTAACTACAACTCCTTTAAGAGGACCTCTGTTCGCAAGTCACGTAAATTAAACATACTGAAATATTTGTCCTCCATATCTCACTAAATTAAGACCTAAGCTTTTCCTTACAATCAACAAGACAACTTTGGTTGCCTTTTTATACACCTTTAAAATATACATCACACATTTATTTGATAAGTTTTTTAATTAAAACACAAGCACCTCATGGACCTGAAAAAGCTAGTAACATATATGTCATTTATATTTAGACATTTCATTTTTACAACTACATACAAGGCAGATATGAAAATAACTAACTTTCAGTGAAAACTTTGAGTGCTTTCACTCCTAATAAGATGCTTACACTCAAAAGTTTCCACGGATTTCTATGTGAAAATAAAGTTATTACATGATTAAACAGTTTAATGTAGACGTACACGCATCTACAATTGGTCAAAATACATTTTCTTACATGTGCATTTATCGGCTAAGTTTAAGTCGAACTCTACCATTTTCAGTAGAAAGTGGTGAGATATTCTGTAACACTCAGGTATCCCTTCAAACTGTAACTCCTAACCTTTAAAACACATAACCATGTTCAAATAAACGCCAAAATTCAATATCCAATATCCTGATCACGACATAGTGTAAACCAGCGACTTCTTTGAGCTCGCTTCTTGATTGTGAGGTAGAGGTTCCAGATCTTCGGTGAGCTTCTGCGTAGTAAGTTCCGCCACTCGACTGCTTTAGCTCTGGTAGACTCCAAGAGGAGTGGTGCGGGGATTGGTCGAGATGTGGTTTGTAGTATGCAGTATGTTAGGACTGTATTGCTGCCGTGAATGGAGTTTGACCTAACTCCCTTGGTCATTCGGTGTAGTCATAAAAGCAGAATAGTAATAATAATAATAATAAGGTTGTAGTGTAGATAATATAGGTTGAGATAAGTGGAATAATAAAGGTGACCTAAGGAAAAGATAGAGTAGAGTGAGAGAAGGCAGAACAGGTCGTGGGGATTTAGTTTGTACGCTTATCCATTGACAGTGTGGTTTTAAGTTTTATGAGGATAAGCCATTGAGACACAAACCTTGCATTTCTGCATGATTGTCTAGCTTCCGCTTAAAAATCTCCACAGATGGCGCTGTAGTCACGGCCGCCGGTAAAGCGTTCCAGAGACGGCAAACACGAAGCGAAAAGAAATGTGATCGCACTCGAGTCTTTGGTCTCTGGTGTGCTATCCTTAGCGGGTTACCTCGTGGAAGCCTATAATCACTTAATGGCAGGATGCTTTTATTTGGGTGGGCCTGGTCATTTAGGATCTGGTAGACGGTGATGAGGTCTCCCCTGTGCCTACGGTAACTAAGTGTGAAAAGACCTAATTTCTTTAGTCTTTCCTCATATGATTTGTTGCGGAGGCCGATCACCCATTTTGTCGCTCGTCTCTGGACACTTTCTAGAATGTTAGCATCCCTTTTGAGTAGCGGAGGTGCAATGATATTATGCACCTCAAGGTGTGGCCTCACATATGCCTTATATAACCTTAAGAACAGTTCGGGAGTGAGAGCTCCCAGCTGCCTATGCATAAAGTGTAAAGTTGCGTAGGCTTTGGCGACGTCCCTCGAGTAATTTCCACTGGTGTCTAGCTTTTCTGTTAGAATAAGACCTAGATCACGCTCTGATGGAACACAACTCAAGTTCTGGCCACCAAGGGTGTAATTTACACTCTGTGACCTGCCGGAATGAAGTTGCACTACTTTGCACTTCTTTAGATTGAAAGGCATTCCGTTAGCCAAAGCCCAATTTCCCAGAGTTTGCAGGTCAGCCTGCAATCTATCTGAGTCTTCCGATGAGTTTATTGCTCTCCAAATCTTTACGTCGTCAGCGTAAAGAAGCGCAGAGCAGTTTAGTTGGGGGGCAGGTCATTGATAAAAATCAAAAACATCAACGGCCCTAGGATAGAACCCTGAGGAACCCCTGATGCCGAGGTGTGCCAGGATGATCGGATGCGGTTGACTTTGGTGCAGAATTCTCTCTCGCCTAAGTAATCTTTCAGCCATGCGAGAAGTGCTCCAGAAACTCCCGCCTTGCCTATTTTGTGAAGGAGCAGACCATGGTGAACTGTGTCGAATGCTTTCGCAAAGTCGAGAAAGATCACGTGGGCTGGTACCTTTTTGTCCCAGGATAGTGTCCAATCGTTCCAGGCTAGTAGAAGATTCGTCACGCAGGATCTTCCCCTCCTGAAACCGTGCTGTGCTTCGTGAAGAAGGTTAGTCCCATCGAAGTATTTTCTCATGTGGTCGTCAATGAGACTTTCCAATATCTTCGATATCACTGGAAGTAGAGCAACTGGTCTGTAACTGGTCGCATTCTGCCGGTCACCACCCTTGAAGATAGGGGATAGGATTGCTCTTTTCCATTCACATGGAAGTTTCCCTACATCAAGGGAGTGTTGGAACAGATCACTTAGGGGTTGGCACAGACTTTCTGAACACTGCTTCAGGACAGATGGTCTGGTTTCATCACAACCTGAGACTTTCCCGAAGCCAACCTTCCCAATTTTGCAAGTACCATAGCCGGGGTAATTTGAAATGTACCCAGCAGGTTTTCGCGCGTTGGTTTTGCGATGTAATCTTGATGTTCTGTGGGGTAATATCCTCGTTACTGTTTAGTTGCCTGTGAAAGGCTAGGCTGAATGTCTCTGCCATTTCAAGACTAGTAAGAGATTTCCCATCAGAACCCACTAGATTGCATGCTCCCTGGTTGGTCGGTTTTCTTTCGGCCATAAACCTGTATAGGCTTTTGGGGTTCACGAGAAGCTTATTGGCCCTGAAATGTCCTTCTATCGCTCCGGACTCGTATGTTACATCGATTCCTGAGTTCAAGGTACACTTCATGTTCGGGTTGACTCTTCGATCGTCGCCACGCAAACCAGGCTTTTCGCTTCGCCTGCAGAAGGCGTTGTGTCCCCTTTTTAGCCATGATCGTTGCTTCCTAGCTTTTGGTGTGACTAAAGGAACAGTGTCTGAGACCGCCTGGTGAATGATCTCCTTTACCACTCTCCAGTGTTCTTCTACTGTTCATTTTTTTAGGCCAATGTGCTTCAGACAGAAGTCTTCGCATTTTGGTGTAATTGGCTTTGTTATAACACAGATAGGGCTGTGTATTGTCCCACTGTAAGCGCTCGCGGAGGACTATGTCGAATACTATGACCGCGTGGTCACTACTACCTATGGGAGTCGTGATCTGAACGTTTTCCACTAGTAGCTGGTCACTAGTGAGCACGTAATCCAGTCTAGAAGACTTCCCATCAGGGCCCCATCTAGTATCCATCTTGACATTTTCAGTGAATCCAGCCTTCCTGATGGTATGCAGCAGATTTCGATCAAATCTATCATGGGCTTTTCCCGACACCAAGTTAAGAGATGGGGCATTGAAGTCACCAGCTATGACAATTTGATCATAACCCATGTCTTGAGCCGCTGAGATTGTATTTAGCAGTACCTGGTTGTGGTCTGCTCCACATGAAGGTGATCGATAAATGCTGCCCACTAGATATTTGCAGTACCCAACGGTGAAGTGGCACCATATGGAGTCAGGGAGCTCTGTGAAGGGAGGGTCCATCGCGTGAACACATCTGAGCTGTTTGTCGACGTATATGGCGACTCCACCTCCTTCTTTCAGGTCCCTATCTCGCCTGACTAGGACCATATCATTTATACTGACTTCGCTGTCTGCCACCGTAGGGGTTAGCCAGGTTTCCGTCAGTATCATGATTTTGGAGTTTAGTTGTGATTGTAGGTGTCTAAGTTCAGCTATTTTGCCTCTTGACCCTCTCACATTACTGTACAGGCAACTGGTAGCCAGTCTCACCACTTCCCCGTGTTGGGGAAAAATTAAAGATTATTCAAACGAAAACCTGATATTTTACAAAATAAATTAAGTTCTCTGCCACGTCCATTTACGTCGCGGATCTAGACTTGATATCCAATTATCTTCCTGATTGCAATAGATTGGATAATGTGACAGACAACAGGCAATGATGAAACAGGCATAAAATGCACTCACACAAAATACTTGAAGGATCTGGACTTCGCCGATGATATATGTCTGAATTCCCACAAACTGGAAGATATGCGAGTGAAAAGCAACAAGCTGGCAGAAGAAGCATCAAAGATAGGACTTCAAGTGAACATAGATAAAACAGAGGTGATGAAGATTCCTGGCCAACACCAACAGCAACAACAACAACAGACAACAATCAGCCAGCATAAATAGGAGGAACCTGAAAGAAACAGCCTCCTTTACCTACCTGGGAAGCATCGTCTCAACTACAGGCCGACGGAGCTGACGAGGATATCAAAGCCAGAATCGGAAAAGCAAGACAGGCTTTCACCACTCTTAAGTCTGTGTGGAGGTCAACAGCACTCAGCATCAAAAATAAGATCCGGATTCTTAACTCCAATGTGAAGTCAGTGCTACTCACTATACGGATCAGAGACTTGCACTTCGCGTCATAAAGATCATCTCAAACAAGCTTCAGACCTTCATTGACAGTTGTCTTAGCTCAATACCACTCAAGATCAGATGGTTGGCCAGAAAAGATCAGCAACAGAGATCTCCGGGAGCGAACCAACTCAGCAGGAACCGATTGTGAAACAAATAGGCAGGAAGAAATGGAGATGGATTGGCCATACTCTGAGGAAACCATCAAGTGACATCACTAGACAAGCCATTGCTCTAGTGGAACCCGAAAGGGAAGCAGTGAGTTGGTCGTCAGTGCAAGGGTGACTTGGAGGAGGTCATGCGCGGAGGAGATTAAAGCATGTGGGCAGACTTGGAGCGGGGTGAAAAAGTTGGCAGAAAACCAAAGGCAATGGAGGTGCGCAGCTGAAGCCCTATGTTCCTCTAGGAATTAAAGGATACAATAATAATAATAATATTGCAAGGATGAGTTTCACATAAAGTCAATGAGAAGTAAGTAATTCCCTCAGTCCTCCCCAAAATAACATACAGACTGATATTCACTCAGCGAATTCACATCCTTTCGAGAATAATATTTCTCTTTTGTGGTGGTCCGAAACTGGGTGACTAATAAGACTCTAAACTGAGGTCAATAATGTCCACAATGGAGACATAGTAATATTGGGAAGAAATTCCAATATTGATGGAACGCAGGACTCAAGCACCTTCGCCTTTAAAATTTTCAAGCGATTATACTCTATTAACAAAACTTGGACAGCAATTCGCTCAGATCTGCTGAAATTTTCGGGATGTTATATCACTGTTAAACTGTTAGGTAAAAAGCCCACAAGAGTCATAACTAAATCAAAACACTCTATTTGTCAACCTATGTGCTGGAATCGAGCTATGTGCGTTTTAGCGTCATTAAAGAGTAATTTAGAACCACTGTTTAAGATAACGCAGGAATGTCATTCAAATATAATAGTAGCAGTAGTAGTATTAGGAGACCTAGTACAGTGTGATATTTCCTGGTTCTAGCGAGGTATTCAGATTTGTAGGAGTCTGTGTTTACTGTATCCGCAGTATCACTAATAAGAGGCATACTGCTTTTTTAGTGACGAGCTGTGA